TGTGTGAGTGTGGACGTGTGAGTGTGGATGTGTGAGTGTGGATGTGTGAGTGTGGACGTGTGAGTGTGGATGTGTGAGTGTGGATGTGTGAGTGTGGACGTGTGAGTGTGGATGTGTGAGTGTGGATGTGTGAGTGTGGACGTGTGAGTGTGGATGTGTGAGTGTGGATGTGTGAGTGTGGATGCACGCAGCGCCTCACGCAGAGACCTCAGTGCTCACAGAGCCGCCCCTGCAGCCCCCTCCACACCCCTGCAGACGCGGCCTCGCTTCAGATGCTCCCTCTTAGCAGACGAGCGTCACGGCTGCTCCCACAGCGCTGGGATCAGAACACCTCCCAGAGAAGGCGGCGGTAGGAAAGGAAAGGAGGAAGAACAAGAAGGAACGTGGGGTGCTTCCAGCCCACAGAGCACGGCTTGCTGGGACCCACGTGGCTGAAGGCCAGCCTGCCGTTCTGCCCCCCGCCTTCCTCACGCACCACCAAGGAATGGACGCAACCAACTGCGCCGTCCATTAAGATCAAGGCGTTGCAATTAGGAAATAAGCAGCAGGGTTTGGCGCAGCAGGAAATAACGAAAAGAACGGAGAGGAAGCTCGGCCCCGATCCTGGGCTGACCCACAGAACTGCAGCACAGCGCATCTGCAGCACAGCGCCGCCCCACGGGCAGCCAGCAATGCAGGGCTCTGCGAGCGCTGCAGCCGGGATCCAGACCTGCCAGCATCCAGCAGCGCAGCGAATCGCCTCCTGTGAGACCCATAAGTGACACTGGGGACAATGGGGACCCCATAAGTGACAATGAGACCCCATAAGTGATATTGGGGGACATTGGGAACCTCACAAGTGACATTGGGGACCCCATAAGTGACACTGGGGACCCCATAAGTGACACTGGGGACATTGGGGACCCCATAAGTGACACTGAGACCCCATAAGTGACACTGAGATCCCATAAGTGACACTGGGGACCCCATAAGTGACACTGAGACCCCATAAGTGACATTGGGGACCCCATAAGTGACACTGAGACCCCGTAAGTGACACTGGGGGACATTGGGGACCCCATAAGTGACACTGGGGACAGTGGGGACCCCATAAGTGACACTGGGGACTCCATAAGTGACACTGAGACCCCATAAGTGAGACTGAGACCCTACAAGTGACACTGATACCCCATAAGTGACACTGGGGACTTTGGGGACCCCATAAGTGAGACTGAGATCCCATAGGTGACACTGGGGACATTGGGGACCCCATAAATGAGACTGAGACCCCATAAGTGATACTGGGGACAGTGGGGACCCAATAAGTGACACTGGGGACCCCATAAGTGACACTGAGACCCCATAAGTGACACCAGGGACATTGGGGACCCCATAAGTGAGTCTGAGACCCCATATGTGACACTAGGGGACATTCGGGACCCCATAAGTGACACTGGGGACTCCATAAGTGAGACTGAGACCCCATAAGTGACATTGGGGACATTGGGGACCTCAGAAGTGAGACTGAGACCCCGCAAGTGACATGGGGGACATTGGGGACCCCATAAGTGACTCTGAGACCCCATAAGTGACAATGGGGAAACAGGGGGCCCCATAAGCAACACTGGGGACCCCATAAGTGAAACTGAGATCCCATAAGTGACACTGAGGACAATGGGGACACCATAGGTGACACTGGGGACAGTGGGGACCCCATAAGTGACACTGAGACCCCATAAGTGACACTGGGGATATTGGGGACCCCATAAGTGACACTGGGGACAATGGGGACCCCATAAGTGGCACTGAGACCCCATAAGTGCCACTGGGGACATTGGCGACCCTACAAGTGACACCGAGACCCCATAGGTGAGACTGAGACCCCATAAGTGCCACTGGGGATATTGGGGACCCCATAAGTAACACTGAGACCCCATAAATGACACTGAAGACATTGGGGACCCCATAAGTGACACTGGGACCCCATAAGTGACAACACTGGGGACATTGCGGACCCCGTAAGTGGCACTGAGACCCCATAAGTGACCCCAAACTCTGTAATCTTCCCTTCCCCCCCTCGCCCAACCCCGGGCAGTGTCCCGAAACCCGGAAGTGCCCGCACCCGGAAGTGCTAACAGACAACCCCGGAAGTGCTGACGGACAAACCAGGAAGTGCCGACACCCGGAAGTGCTGACAGACAAACCCGGAAGTGCTGACGGACAAACCCGGAAGTGCGGACACTCGGAAGTGCTGACAGACAAACCCGGAAGTCCCCTGTGCCTCGGTGGCTGCGGTGGTGGCAGCGTTTGGGAGCGCGGTGGGAATGGCTGAGGGGGGGGCGGCCGTGACGTCATCGGAGCTGACGTCAGAGGGGGTGACGTCATCGGCGGCCATGACGGAGGAGGAGCTGCGGCAGCTGAAGGTGGGGAAGATGGGTGGGGCAGCAACCCCAGGGATCCCATTGTCCCCAATGTCCCCATTGACCCCATTGAGCCCAATGTCCCCATTGACCCCAATGTCCCCATTGACCCCATTGAATCCAATTGACCCCAATGTCCCCCATTGACCCCAGTGTCCCCCATTGACCCCAAATGTCCCTCAGTGACCCCAATGTCCCCATTGACCCCAATGTCTCCCATTATCCCCATTTCCCCATTGCACCCCACTGCCCCCATTGACCCTGCTGACCCCATTGACCCTAAGGATCCCTATTGACCCCACTGATTCCAATTGTCCCCCAATGTCCTCCATTGACCCCATTGACCCCAATGTCCCCATTGACCCCAATGTCCCCCATTGACCCCATTGACCCCAATGTCCCCACTGTTCTTTTTTCCCCATTGATCCAATCAACCCCACTGACCCCATTGATCCCAATGATCCCATTGACCCCGTTGACCCCAATGTCCCCAATGTCCCCACTGACCCCAATGTCCCCAATGTCCCCAATGTCCCCCTTGTCCCCCCTGGCCCCCCCTGGCCCCCGATGCCCCCGAGGCCCCCAATGCCCCCAATGTCCCCACAGCTGGCTCTGGTGTCGGCCGCCTGCTCGGCCCTGCAGTGCGACGGCGCTGAGCTGCAGCAGCGCCTGCGGGACCTCAGTGCTGCGGTGGCGCCGCACAGCCCGGAGTTCCTGCTGCAGGTAACGGCGCTGCGACCCACTGACGGCCCCACTGACCCCACTGACCCCATTGATCCCATTGACGGCCCCACTGACCCCACTGACCCCATTGACCCCATTGACAGCCCCACTGACCCCATCGACCCCATTCATAGCCCCACTGACCCCATTGACCCCATTGATCCCATTGATGGCCCCATAACCCCACTGACCCCACTGACCCCATTCACAGCCCCATTGACGGCCCCAACAACCCCATTGACCCCACTGAACACACTGACCACAATGACCCCACTGACCCCATTGACCCCATTGACCCAACTGACCCCATTGTCGGCCCCACTGACCCCATTGATGGCCCCACTGACCCCACTGACGGCTCCACTGACCCCATTGACCCCATTGAGACCCCATTGATGGCCCCAGTGATCCCACTGGCCCCACTGATGGCCCCACTGACCCCACTGACTCCACTGCTGGCCCCACTGATGCCCCCACTGACCCTGTTGGCTCCACTGATGGCCCCATTGCCCCCATTGCCCCCATTGCCCCCATTGCCCCCACTGCCCCCAATGCCCCCATTGCCCCCACTGACCCCAATGCCCCCATGGCCCCCAATGCCCCCACCGCCCCACTGCCCCCCCGCAGGTGGCCCTGTACACCCGCCGCCATCTTGCCCTGCGCTCCGTGAGCTGCTTCCTTCTGGCGCTGGCGGCCATCTTGGCGCCATGCCGCCCCCACCTGCGCCGTTACTTCGGGGCCATCGTCCGCCTGCCCAGTGATTGGGTGGCCGTGCCGCGCTTCTTCCAGGTGGGGCTGACCCCAAAACCCCCCGTGTGTCCACACCATAACCCCCCATCCACCCCCATATCCCCCCATCCCACCCCATG